TTCCTCACTGCTAATTGGTCTATCTAAGTTTTCTAATTCCTCACTATTTAATCTAGGAAGGTTATATATTTCTATGAACTTATCCATTTCTTCTAAGTTATTAAATTTGGTGGTATATAGTTTTTCATAATATTCTAGTATGATGCTTTGTATATCTGTGAAATCTGTGGTGACTCTTCTCTCTCATTTCTGATTTTGTTCATATGGTTATTTTCCCTTTATTCCTTAGTGAGTCTAGCCAGGGGGTTGCCAATTTTATCAATATTTCAAAAGAACTAGCTCTTTGTTTTATTAATTTTTGTATAGTCTTTTTTTGTTCTCTATTTCATTCAATTCTGCTCTAATTTTTATTATTTCCTTTCTTCTTCTGACTTTGGGTTGCTTCTGTTCTTTTTCTAGCTCTTTAAGATGTGACGTTAGGTTGTTTACTTGAGATTTCTCTTGTTTCTTAAGATAGGCCTGTAATGATATAAACTTCCCTCTTATTACTGCATTTGATATGTTGGATTGTCATTCTCTTTTGTCTCTAGATATCTTTTTTATTTCATCTTTTATTTCATCTTTGATCATGTCATTTTTTAGTAGTATGTTATTTAATCTCCTAATTTCAAGTCATTGTGGTTGGAGGAAATCCTTGGTATAATTTCCATCTTCTTGAATTCGTTGATACTTGTTTTGTGACCCAACATATGTTTTATCCTTGAGAATGTTCCATGTGCACTGGTGAAGAATGTATCATTGGATGTTCTGGGATGAAAGATTCTGTAAATGTCAATTACGCCCATTTGGTCTTCTGTTGGTTAATCTGTCTAGAGCTGTCAATGGAGTACTAAGGTCCCCAACTATGATTGTGTTATGATATGTTACTCCCTTTAGTTCTGTGAGTATTTGTTTTATATATTTCTGTGTTCCCTTATTGGGTCCATATATATCAGGAAGTATATGTTTTCTTGATGTAGTGTCCCTTTTTTCATTATAAAGTGTCCATTTTTGTCTATTGTTATATGTGTTATCTTGAAATCCACTTTATCTGATATAAGAATGGCTACACTTGCTTTCCTGTGAATATTATTTCCTTGGAGAATCATTTTCCACCCTTTTACTTTGAATCTACTTTTGTCTTTGTAGCTCAGATGTGTCTCTTATAGGCAGCATATGGTTGGGTTTTGTTTTTTAATCCACTCTGCTACTCAGTGTCTCTTTATTTGTGAATTCAGAGCATTTATATTAGGGTAATTATTAATGTACAAGGATTACCTTAGCTATTTTATCTTTTGTTTACTAGTAGCTCTGTGCCTCCATTAGTTCTTTTCCTTTGTGTTCCTGTCTGTTGTTTTTATTTTATGGTATTCCATACTTCTTTCCTCTATTTCCTCTTTTTGTAAAGCTATGTGTCCTGGTTTGCAGATTTTAGGTTTATAGAAAATAAAGTTGCATATGTACAGTAGGTATTTTTTCCTTTGGAGTGCATCTGATCTTCATCATCCTATGCCAGTTCAGACCTTTCCCTCCTCCCCCTTTATGTTTTTTGTTGTCACAAATTATCCCTTTTTACAAATTAATTTATTTTTATTAAGTAAGGTAATACATATGTGTTCTTATCTCCCTATTACCCCCCCAATCCCAAAATACATGCCCTCATCCACCAGTTGTCCGTGTCCATTGATTAGGCTTATATGCATGCATATAAGTCCTTTGATGGATCTCTCTCCCTTACCCCCACCCTCCCCTAACTTCCCTCTGAGGTTTGACAGTTTGATCAATGCTTCTCTGTCTCTGGATCTGTTTTTGTTAATCAGTTTATGTTGTTATTATATTTCATAAATGAGTGAGATCATGTGATATGTATTTTTCTCTGACTGGCTTATTTTGCTTAGCATAATATTCTCCAGTTCCATCCATGCTGTTTCAAATGGTAAGAATTCCTTCTTTTTTACTGCAGCTTAGTATTCCATTATGTAGATGTAACACGGTTTTTAATCCACTCATCTGCTTATGGTCACTTAGGCA